TACTCTGTACATGTTGATTATTTCCTTCATCCTGGTTGATTCTTTGTTTTCTCTTTGTCCTAGGTTTAATAAAAGAGTTTCTATGGAACATGTTTGAATCTTGTGCCTTTTTTCCCCTAGCACACAATGAAAAACCCACATTTTTTGTTTTATATGCTGTTTGACCCTATTAAGCTCTTAAAAATCTTATAAATTAACCCACCAGACATTAACCAGGGCAAAGAAAAACTTCGAGCATGTCAAATAAATTTCTTTTTAGTTAAACCTTTGAAACTTTGTTACATATCTCTCAGAGTACAACCCTTTAAGTGGTAAAAATGAGCACACTCATTAAGAGACTGAAATATATATATCCTTGTATTGTCGCATGGGAGTTCTAGTGGCATAGTGCCTAAGGCATTTTGACTGCTAACTAGAAGGCTGACGGTTTAAACCCACCAGCCACTCCTCAGAAGGAAGATTGGGCAATCTACTTCTGTAGTCATACTGCCTCAGAAACCCAAGGAGGGGTCGCTATGAGTCGATCCCGACTGGATGGCAGCAAGTGAGGTAGGAGTAAGTCCTTGTTAAATCAATAAAATAAACAATCGATCCTTTCTCAGTGCATTTTTCAAGTAGACCAATGTGTATCCAAGGTTCTCAAAGTAGCTACTGAAAGCCCAAGTCATAAGACAAACATAAGAAGCAGTTGACTTGAAAGTGAAAATAAAAACAAAAAAATACTAAGACTTAAGACAGCCTCATGAATAACCAGCAACTGAAAATACAGCTTCCTGAGGCAAGACAGAAACACAGACACTGCTTTTTCTCTATTAGAGTCAAGCTTTCAGAACAAAGAAAGGGAGTAAAACCACTTAAACTCAGCAGTCTTCTATGCTAGAGCTATGCTTTTAAACAACGCAAAGCAGATGGGGAACTGAGTTTCAAAAATGTCTGCAGCAATTCTTTAGTAAGATTGACTCAGTTCAACAGAAAAACAACTGGATAAAACTAATTTACCAGAGTCTCAGATGGCTGGATCTCAGACCCTTTGACAAACAGTTCCCCAAAGAGGAAAGAAAAGACACCATAAATGGAAACTTATTTTCCCAAAGTGATCACTGAAATTCCAAATCATTTCTCATATCTCAGCTTTTGAGATATTTTGAATATTAACCCCAAAATGGCATCATGGTAGGCCTATAGTTTTTGGCCATTTAGCAAGCCAGAGTTTACTAGGAAAAACTTTATTGGCATTCCCCGTTTTTTGGACAGTCCTAAGCTCAGTGAAATAATTCACCACACTCACAGTAAATAATGGATTCCAGTTCAACATGCAAAAGAAGAGTTCAAGAATCTGTGAGCTTCTAGATGCTCCATGAAGACAATAAGGTTAAAGGGCTTTTGCAGATGCCACACCTGTTTTCATCGAGAGCTCTGAGAGATGTTGGTTATCTGCTACTGGTCCCACTTCTTACTCAAGGAATTGTCAAAAACTAAAATGCTTCAACAAACACCAAAAATTAGTGAGGCTATTTATTTACTGTGAGTAGATTGAAATTGGACATTGTCAACCCATATCAGGATGGCCATTTGAAATCAGATTATGCAGGTCATCATTATGTTAATTTCTCAGCATACGGCAGCAAAGCAACAGCACTGAAGAAAACTTATTTTGATTTTGTTAGCATTTCAGTGTAAGTTAACTAATTTTTATTCATTCTGTTTCTCTTCTGAATATACTTTAGAGGATAGGGACTGTTTCTTTTTGTTAATTCTACATCTTAGGACACAGGACATGCTGGACCTTTGATAAATGTGTTTAATTAAATTAATCTTTATTCCCAGATTCCTGGGATGATAGGGTTTTTAACTCCTATTGAGACTGAAATTTTTCTAGAAGACACCTAATTATGTATATTTTGGGGGAATAATCCCAGATAGACTAGAGTGGGTCTATGATAATCTTCATAAATATTATAAATTAGATTATTATAGTCTAAATGAATGTCTCAAAGTTGGTCCATTATTTGGGTACATGGTCCAAACAGTTTTTTCAGTAATCTATTCTTCCATTTGTCTTAAGTGGTTATGATTTTATTCCTGTTACTGCCAATAAAAAAATCATTCTTGATATTTAGTATCTCTTTTTAGGGTGTCTTGAATGTGGGGTTTTTTCCTTTAATTTTATTTATCATTTCTGATTTCATTACAGTTTCTCTGAAATACGTAGTTTAGTTCTCCAAACAAGCAAGCTGATTTCTTGTATCACTTTAGACGCTTAGATGTTTCCTTAAGCTATATTAAGAGATTTGAAGACAAAAGCATAAATGAGGCTTTTGTCTTTTCTCTTGGCTACCTTCATTTTTAGGAGCTCTGGTAGCATAGTGCCTAAGGCACTTGACTGCTAACCAGAAGGCTGGCGGTTCAAACCCACCAGCCACTCCTCGGAAGGAAGGTTGG